CTAAACAAATTGTTACTTTTGCTCTGACAGGCGTAAAGTACGGTCGGCGACGCAAAACAATAGTTTTGGTTTTGAAAAATCGCTGAATAAACACGGGAGTCGGTCTTTTCTGTCAGTTAAATATTTTTACCTTTTTTTACTGCTGTGTCTGCGAGGCTAAAACATAACTTAGATTGTTATTCCAGTAAAATACAATGTATAAAAAAGAAAAGAGACGACTATTATTGTGATTGTTCTAGAATCGGGTATAAAGGGGGTATAAATCTATAACATCCCTAGCCTGCGTAGCAAGCGTTTCCAATCGAGTTATTGCGCGAAAGTTAGAGCGGAAGCGAAAAAAAGGTTGAAGGGGGACGGGGAGGGGAGAAGAGGAAACGCTTGCCCGTAAACCCCACGATTCTGGAAAACGCCCCTTGAAATTTCACGGTTCGGTTCATTTGTAAATTGACAGCTTGTCGAAATAGAAACATAATGAACAGATTACCCCTGGATTACCTCCCCCTCCCCCGTCATTCTTTTATTTTTTTGGCTCTTGTCAAAGCTTTCTAGACGAACCTCGCGAGGAAACGCTTGCTACGCAGGCTATAAAATCCCGCATTGTCTTTCGTGTCGTGACAAGACATTACGTATCACGTACTAAAAATAAATACGCGAAAGCTATAAACCGAATCCACATTTGTCCTGAACATTTCACCGATAATATAGAAAGAAAATACTTCCGTTTATGCGCTTAAACGACGACTTTACAACAAGATGATCTATTCAAAAGAGATAATAGTTTTAGGGCGGCCCGGGGGGGTGGGGGGCACTTCCTTATAAGAGGCTAATGGGGAGATATGCCGGTGGATGGGGTCGCATTTTCACGACTGGATTGAGTATAGTGGGGTTGCATTTTCAAAAGAGTTACTAGAATGGGGCCGCACATTTTCGGATTTTTGGGGTAAGAGAGTTGTTCATATTTAGGGAAAGTTCATTTAATATGACAAGGGGGGGGGATGAAGATATTGAGGGGGGCTCGAAAATTTTTTATACCCGAAGGGGGCTCTGAAAAAAAATTGTTGCGCTAGGATGGGGGGCTCCGAAAATATGTATACTTCAAAACCAACACATGACATCATCATACAGATCGGATGGTTTTCAACTCGACAATTTAATGACCTGTGCAACTCAGCTATATCACGTGGTTTACAGATATAACAAATGTAGTCTCAGTAATTATTACACTCTTGTTCACCCCAAAAATGCTTTAGAAAATTGTATCACAACTGTATCTCAAGTTTGTCATAGTATAAACCATTGAAGACAATAACGGTAAATATATTTAATACAGTCTAGCGATCTTTTTTCAGGGGAGCAAAGGAATTGAAGGAGGAGGGGGGGGGCTCTGAGATTTTTTCGACTACCAAGGAGGGGGCTCCTAAAAAATTGAACCGCTAGCGAGGGGGGCTGCTAAAATTTCAAGCTTCGGGTTTCAATATCTTCATCCCCCCCCCCCCCCTTGTCATATTAAATGAACTTTCCCTTACAATTAGCAAACGTACCAGGATATTTGTACTGTAGCAGGAGCCTGACTGTAGGTGAAAAGTAAAGCGTTCTTCATTCAATTTATTAAAAAATGGGTCAATTCATTTTTTGATGACCTATTTAAAGGATTGATAAGGTAGATAAATAAATAGAAAGTGACTAAGTTGGGATCGCAAAAATTAGATATTTGCCCAAGAGTGACTAATATGGGGTCTAGGGGCTCTGAGAGGCCAGCGGCACATACACAGCAAAAATTACCCCACGTAACCCCCCGGGGGGCACCGCGGTTTCGTTGAAATCATAACAGTTTTCCTGGAAAGCTCCACGGGATCTCAGTTAATCTTGACAAGCAAATTTTCTTTTCAACCTAAATCAAAATGATTAGTAAAAAGAATAGTGCCCTTATTTTTTACCCCAATTTTCTTTTTTATAAAAAATACACAAACAGACCAGAATCTTACTTTGCCATTTAAAAAACATGAACCATTCGGCGGCGTTGCCCACGTTTCTCATGGCACGAAAACTTTATACTTTCATATGACAACATGCGGGGTTTTTTTTTCGCATGCTCAGGAGGTCAAAGGGATGTGATTTTTCATGAAAAAAAATATTCACAAAATTCTGCTTGACTTGTTGAGAAAATAATTTGTTTAATTTTTAATAATTAACTAACAGCTCATTGATTTATTAATTTGGGCGACCAACTTGGAGGCTCGGGCACCCCAGCTAAAAATATTGGGGGAGCACGAAGGGCTCTCTGAAATCTTCCCTAGAGCACAGCCTTGCAGCCCTGTAGTTATTGGAAGTATGATACATTACATGTTATTGTTGAATGTGGAAGTGCATTTTTTGAGGACATTAGTAAAGGAATGCAAATTTTAGTGAACTATCCCATACTCCTAACATATATGGTGGTAATATTGATGTAAGTTTTGTTTTGAGTAGCAAAGGAACCCTTGTGTGTAACTCATCTTCTAGTGTATTAGTCCTTAACAGAACATCTCCGTCTCTCCTGCACACATTTGTTGCATACACTACTCAATTTTCCATTGCCATTCAACATAACGGTAATTCTTTCTTACACCAACACATCCCGCGTGAACGCCTTCGGGCGTCTTCTTGTTATTCATGAATTTTGAGAATCAACCTACAGAATTGTAATTAAGATTTCAAATTGCTAGGTAAATACAAAGGGTAGGCGGGGAATCAAACAGCTAAGGGTTTCTTAGGTTCTATTTTTCTTTTATTTTTATAGTAGCCGCGGGAGATCCCCAGCCCCTGCCTCTTAATGATAGCCCTGAACCAAGGTTAAAAGATTTTCACCTGAATTTAATTTTGACCTGTACAATATACATTATTTTAGTTCTAGAGTTAGTGGTCGTATTTGATTTGGACCACTCAACATTTAACAAGTATCTTTGCTAAATCCATTGAGTAGTATATTCACATTGAAATAAGTTTTTTGCTTTTTGTCTTAGTCAGAAAATATCCCACCTTGATGGATAAAAATTACTACTTTTTTTAGGAGATGATAGTTGGACAATCAATCTACCACTGTATTATACCTTAAAGTTCTATCCTCATTGGCACAATTCCTTTGCAAGGTATTTTGCAGTACATTTTTCACACAGTTCTCAATTTTTTTCATTGTTTTTTTTTACCATGAATACTAAAATAACTTTTTGTTTTTTTATGCAAAATTAATTACACCTGAGAATTGCTAACTAATGAACAGTTGCTGTTAGTAGTTAGCTCTATGTTGCTATTACCTATGCACAACAAGAATGTAGCCAGTACTCATTTGGACTTCCACAATGAATGGGATGCATAAAAAGCAATCTGTTCATGTGTGTTTGGATCTTTTTTCACTTGACATCCTTTGATCAATATTATCCACACTATTTACCCTTAGGTTTTTACTAATTCTAACATTCTATAATCACATATTATTTTTGTTTCATTTAGCATGAAATTGTGATTCAAAGATACATTCATAAATTACAATGTAGCATGTACATTCAAGTCTTCTTAGCTTTGCCATCAAATAGTGTTAGGGGGTCTAATATGAGCCCTACAGAAAATACATGTAAACTAATTATGCTGTGGTAGATTAATGAAACAAAATATTTTTCCCCATTTGTGTCAACTTGTTGTTTATTTCAGTGGTAACACTCCGAAAAGTCATTCACCCTGCAATGGGCGATTCCAGAAATTATCCAAACCATGTCACAGACAGCTTCTACATTTGAACTCCCCCTTGCAGTATTCTCCTTATCAGGCGGTAACCAGTAAATTTTACTGCCGGAAGCAACACGTCTTACTGCCTGCCACTGCTTAGAAGTTTACTAAATTTAAAGGGATTGTGTCACGACATTGCGCATGTACAGCCATGAAATCAGCCATGATTGACAGCGGTAGCTTGTTAACCAATAGAAATCGCCAGAAACGGCGCCGCGCGACGATGCGAATCTTGCGGGATTTTGAAGTCTTCGCAGGATTTTCACGTGTGGTTGAAAACAAATTTTGTCTGGGCTGTGACCTTTTGTTTAAAGAATAAAGAAAGCAACTGATGTGACACAATGGCAAATAATATTACGGAGGATGAACAGGTACAGCTAAAAGAAACAAAATAGATTGTCCTGGTTCGCTGTGAAGCGGTGATATTTGAAGTACTATGTGTATTTGGCGATGGCGTATTTACCGGTAGTTCGTTTTTGTTTCTTTGGAATATGCGTAGTCAAGAGTTTCCTGCAGTTGTTCTAGTACCTGCTTGACAAAAACTGGAAGGGTACGCCAAGGATGTCCTTGCAGAACAGCTGGAAAATCGTGCACTGCGGCTTATATGTGCGGAACAAGGACAAAGCCGTGTAAAAACAAGGTGAGATTTTGCTGCGATTTCACACAACCTTAGCTTCACGCACATTGTCAGTAAGGTTTTACCGTCAGTAATTCTTTCGGAAATTTTTTTTCTCACACTGAAAGCGGGAATCAACGAACAGCTGCCTCCAAAGAGCGTCAGGAGAATCAATAAGCGAAGAAGAGGAAGGAAATTTGGAGAATCGACGGGTTGCGGTAATAGTTTGTGATTAGCCTTAGTTCCAGTCATCATGACGAATTGTCATGTGTTATCTGTCACCAAAACAGGCAAATGATGCTTGAATAAAAGTAAAAAAAGTGATTAGATTTTTCTTGGCGTCAGTTCTGAGCTTTGCTCTTGGTCTGAATCAGAAATTTTTGCCACTATGGCGGCAAATGTCCACAGAGTGATACAGTATACCATTACACTAAGAGTTTGTATCTCCTTTGTTTGTGAAAATATGTATAGCAGTGGTTATTGTTCACCACCAAACAAAACTATACATAGTAAAGGACTTAGGCTATAATGATGTTCTGACAGATAATTTGTCATTTTGCTGGTACTGAAATAGGTTTTATTCTTTCACATGTAGGAATTTATAAACACCCTTGATGAGCAA